GGGACACCCTGTATACATTAATACAAATTTAGATAAGTTTTAGTAATAATGGATAAAGGGATATTAAAATCCAACGTTCATAGTAAGTACCATAAAATGTATAAACAAGTACATCACTACATCAGTACCCATAACCCATGTCCCATACATACATAATAAAAAACATATAATATAACAATTCGGTAACAATCACTACTACATTTGTTTAGTTATTAGTTAATAAAGGATTAGTCAYTGTTTATTAATAATAATTATAAATACATATTTTCTCCAAATATTTATTCTATAGGTACTTCTWATATTGATCTAAGTTATAACATTGATTTCATAAATATTTAGTAGGTAGGTATAAGAAACCTTAAAAACAGTATTGTTATATAATTCAATTTCACCTGCATAATATAATGTATACTTTAAATTGATATTACAATATAAGAAAACCAACTATACGTCTATACCTATAAGAGTTAATGCTCGAGGGATAACACWAATATTAAATTACTGTTTTAGAAGGGGTTATTAAGTCGTTTAAATATCAAATAATTATCGTTCTTCATAAATTTACAGAATAATTCCATATCATATACCTACCTACTTATACGTTATACGGAATCCTCTTAAAGCGGAAGATTTTAAAGAAGCAGTAATTTTTTTATGAATATAAAATAAGATCAAACTAAGGTTTAGACCTAAATACCTAATTCAAAGTACAAGGAGGTGTAATATTAATCATATTAGACTATAATAGTGWGACACGTACAGTGTGGTTTCATACTCGTATAAGCTGTAARCATTTAAAAGTATCTTTCATTTGTTTCTAAGGAATAAAGATATTAATTAATCTTAACTAATTAACTACGCATTACAAGACAAATAAAACTGTACAATGTTTAGACATTRGGTACATGATTACATGGATGTATTTAAAAGTAGAGTAAAAAATCGCAAGTAATTATTTATTATCATTTAAATGATTTCAAAAATACTGGCAAGGTATTTTCAACATTAAATATAAAATATGTAGTGAACACATCTAATATAACACTTGTACCGATAAAAGAAAATTACAAAATTCGAACAAAAATTCATGAAATAATATCTTAAATGTCACTTATAGCCTTATAGGTATATATTACAAAAATATTAAGAAAATGTTAATAAATCCATTACCAGTAGGTATTATATTATGGATTTATATTTCGCAATGTCTGCATAAAACAGTTTAATAGTTGTAAATGAGTATCCAATATTCTCTAATAATAATGTATAACTATTATTAATATTAAATTTGATTGAAAAAATTCTTTCTGACTACAAACCTAAACAGTGTTGAATCCAGACAATTTTTCTGGGGTGCTCACTTTTTTTTTTCATTGGTGAATGG